AATGTATCTTTCTGTTTACAAACACCTTATTTAATATATATCATTGGTTCATTAATATTGAACCCACAGCCAACAGCACCGTAACTCATGACTAAAGGAAGCTTACCCGACATGTTTACTGTCTCTGTGAGGTACACGGTAGCCCTCTTGAGTTTCGCGCACCGACAGAACTTTAGCACTGTGCCCAAGAGGTCATTTTAAACAGTGAAAACCACAAGAAAAAGCACAGAAATTCAAAACATGGGGTACTCAATGGACCATGACAAGAATGATTGCGTACAGCATGAGAGCTCAAGCAAGAAGGCAGGAAGTCACCTTGTTCACCTCAGCTGGGAACATGGGCACAGGCCAATCACATTTTTCGCTGTTCCTCACATGTCCACAAATGACCACAAAAGTACAGTGAGTATTGGTTTCGGGGTTACAAATGTGTAGGCAAATTCGTAAGGATGGACTCCTAGAGTCGTCTACAGATGAGGGGGTGGGAAAAGAAGAGTGATGAAGGATATGTAGAAGATCTAAGTGGATGGTTCTGAGGTGGCTTCACAAAAACTGATCCGCTCCCAGCATGCAGGTAACTGTGTTTTCCCATATAGGCTCGAGGGGTTCAGAAGTAGCTAAAATAGAGCCAATCAGGGCAGGCCATGCAGCAGCAGAAAGAAGGATGCAGCAAGTGTATTCTGTGACTGATGGTCATATTACCAGACAGGATTGAGGATACCCTGGTGGCCACCAAAGCCCACATTTGGCAAAGAAAGATCAGATGCCTACTGCCAACCCACCCCCACCCCACTTACGCTCCTATACTGAAACGCTCCATCAGCTCAACGGAAAGTGCATGGAACCCCCAAAAAAGGGATATTCTCAACTGATTGAAATTGTATTCAGTGTGCTGATAAATCCACAGATTGATTCTATTTTGTTTCTACTAAGATGGAAATAATCCTAAATATTTAAGCATTTGGGACTCCTAGTGAATAATCTGGGTCATTTTAGGATTTGTTCATCATGAACATATATTTACCGCTCTACCTACAATGTGAAAGACACCCTATCAAGCACGTCACACCCTAGATGGACATGAACAATCACAACAAGCACATACAAGATAACCGGTAATGTGCATGAGATACCTTGGCACGGGCAAGGATTATAAAAACTAAAAGGAGAAAAACATCACTTTGAATGCTGATGAGTGGGAAAACTTCACAGAGGAGCCAGGATAATTTGACTAGATGATAAAGGATGAGAACGGTTTGCTTTGGGGAAGGAAGGTGAAAAGCAGGAGGGTATTTTAGGGGAGGGGAATGCAGGAGAGAGTTAAAAGGTAAGAAATTCCCCTAGGCATGCCTGGGGGAAAGTAAGTTGATTGGTTTAAGTGAACTAGAATAATAATAAAGAGTACTGAGAGATAACTACAGGACAGGCGTCACAAAGGAAGAATCCATTCAACCTGATGAATGACTAGCCATGAGGACAAAGCCTAAAAAGCTTTACAGCTGAATCAAGTCTGAGTCTGAGGTCTGAGAACTGTGGTATTAATGACAGAAGTAGGAACGCCAAAACAGAACTAGTTTGAGGTAAAATGAATGATGAGTTTGAGGTGACAACAGGACATCCTAGGGGAAGTGACAAGTGAGCAGCTGAAGATATAAAACTAGATGACGGAGGAGAAACAGAATCGGAAATGTGGATTTGAGAATTATCAGTCCTAAGGTAATCATAGAAGTCTGTGAGTGGGTGAGTATCTGAAGGGGGGCAATGAGGGAGAAGAGGAAGTAGTGTCCAGAAAGAAAACAAAGAAGGAGCAGTCAGGGAGTCAGAATGTGCCTTTGATCCCAAGAGCAGGGTGAGGAGGGAGATTCAAGAGCACATGAACAACCTGTCAGTTCCTGCAAGGGATAAAAGAGAGGACTCAGGAAATTCAGCTGAGTTTGCTGACAAGCAGCTAACCTCCAGAGAAGCAATCTCAACAGAGTGGTTGAGGCAAAAAGACAGAATGCTTTCAAGAATGGGTTAAAGCATGAGTTTATAGAGGGAGGATAGAGATAATGACTATTGATCACTTTGAGAGAGAGAAAGTCTTGAAATTACTAGGCTAACAGCACTATCAAGGAAAAGGAGAGAGACAGCTCATTTCTTTTTTTTTTTTTTTTAACTTTCTTTTTGAGGTTTCTGCAAGGAGGAGGGATCCAACACAAAAAAGGACAAATGATTCAAGAGAACGCTGGGAATGACACTTCAGAAAGACTTACTAATCATAAGATATAACTCTTACATGGTTCCTGTAATGTTCAAGGCACTATTCTAAGTGCTTTTTACATATTAATACATCCTAATCTCATAATACTCTACTAAAGTGGGTACTATTTTCATGCCCCTGATAGGTGAATCAATGGAGGCATGCAGAACCTAAATGACTTACCCAAAATCACCATCTGGAAGGAGTGAGGTCAAGAAATGAATCTAGACCCAGCTGTCTAGAGACACGATGCTCTTAACCATATTAACCGTAGGTCTCTATTACTTTGAAGGATTAAAGAAAGAAGTAACAGTAATAACTCCCTTCTTGAGACCTGGAGAAAAAAAAGGATCTCCTGATTTATTACAAGATGGAAAGGGAAGCACCTGAGCATCATCACGTATGATATGACATCATATGACAGAGCTCTATCTTGCAAGTAAGAGAAGAGGGTAGGGATTAAGGTAAAGATAGAGGATACATAGAGTCTGATGGAGATTTGGAAAAAAAGAGCACACACTACAGTTTCAACAGAAGGATAATAAAACCTGTTAAACACCTTCTATAGTCCTGGTTGGTGAGGGACTATCAAAGATAGTTAACTCAAGTTCAGTGTGGCTCTCTAGGGGTAATTATGGGAAGATTTGAATTGGGAGATGAGCCTAGTAGGGAAAGCTGTAAACTATGTCTGGCATTGATGTTGAGTATTGGAGAGAATTTAGATTATGTTTTACAGTTCCAGACAAGAAGCTATTTCAAATTAAAAAAGACAAGTCCTGAAACCCAGTATGCTACCGGCTCTGTATTCATAACACAAGGTTTATAGACATAGATATCAAATTGGGTCATCTGTATGTTTTAATGGGAGCAATTTAAGTACAAGACTATTGAGTGTTCTGAATCTTTCATTAAGAAATATTGTCTTATATTACTTTAATTATTATTATTTCTGATATGAATATTTTTTCAGTAACCATAAATCTCAGACTGTGAAAGACAAAATATATTATGAGGATTGTGTAAACTGAAAATAGTTGTCCAACATCAAATCACTTTTATATATTGTTCTTCACAGCCTGATCAAATTCAGATGAAAATGTCAATGAAATACTGACTCTACCCTCGAACGTTTGTGAATAAACCTCTGTTTCTAGGAAACATAACCAAAATATAAAAAAATAAGCTACTTAATGCAATTGATATTTAGAAAATACAATTATAATCCTCTCATAGATGACAATTCATAAGAATCTGGTTATGTTATTTTCAGAATCACTGACTTTATTTAATAGCTAAATGGATTTCATATATGTTGGCAAGGATTAGATCAGGAAAAATTTCAAAGAACATAAAATCATTTAAAATGTTACACTTTCTCTGAAATGCTGCTTTTTTTCTAAACCAAAAATAAGAAACAAAAGTCATAAAAATGTCATCCTGAACTTTGCCCAAAAATATTCTGTTTGCAGAAAATGGATATTTTAAAGGTTTAATTAAGGGCTGATCATCCAATATGATAGATGCTATTAGATATGAAAAATAAAATATTCTCCATATAATAATATTCACTTTTTAGATGACTGTCTTTAGATTGAGTTTATGAGCATTTTCTCAAACAAACAAACAAAAAAAAACACACATTTTGGGGACCAAGGGATATTGTACAACTACATGCTGGAACATTCTGATTCTGGCTTTTATTCGTTTCCAAGTACAGAGGTATATTCCATTGATAAAGAGAATTTTCAAAATAAGTGTTTTTAAACTAGCTTTTGAGTTAAAAAATAATAACTCCAGGTTGAGTTTAACTAATCAATTCTGTTGTGAAATTTTTAGAAACAAAGTCTGTAATAGACAGGATGACCTTATGGTAATGCTCAGAAGAACAAAGGGCACTTGCACATAAGCTTTGTGTGGTAGTATTAGCCTCTTGCGTCTAGTAGAATATTTATTATTGCATTCCAAAGCCAACTATAAATACTTTTTTCACTTAAAATATACATTTAAAAATCTAAAAAGATATAATTTGTATAAATATACAATATATATTGAAACATTTAAATAATTATATATAAATTGTATCATAAATATAACACTATAATAAAATATTGATATAGTAAATATTTAATATGTATAAATATGTATAAGATATCTATAATATATACGTTTTCTTTGGAGTAATGAACACCTCATTTTACTATCCTATCACTATACATAATGAGGCAGATAGACACATTTTAAAATAAAATATTAATAGCATAATGTATAAAACTGTTGAACCACTATGTTGTACACCTGAAGCTACTGTAACATTGTGCCAACTATACTCAAAAAATAAAATGAAATAAAATGAGATGTTAATGTTATTTTACAGATATTTGTAGACATTCTAAGAATTTCTTTGCTCATTGACTTCAATGAGTGCCTCCTCATTAAGGCACTATAACTTAGAGACTTTTTTAAAGAACATTGAACTGAAACTTGAAGATAAATTAATAACGCTATCTTGTAAGGTTTTGGAAAATTTCTTGGGATTTCCACCTGGGGGTTAGAACATGAAACAGTAAGGAATGCAAATCAGGAAATGATTTTGAAAGCAAAAATAAATATTGAATAAGTTCTCAAGGTTAATTGCTATCTTTTTGTAAGGTCATGGGCTCTAACACAAATATTTAATATTCTTAATATATATGTTTCCTCTACGCTTAAGTTTTAAAATTTGAGCATAACAATTCCCACCTCAGCAGGGAATTCTCACCTTATTATATGTGTTGCCTCTAAACAAGGTGTGGGAATTCCCCTGTTCATCACTCACTGAGAAGGAGGACAAATGACTGAAAGGTCCTGGGGTAAGACAGTCAGCATGTGAGAGGGTCTGTGGAGGCAGCAGGGACTGAACGGGAGGATAGAGTCTAGTCTGATATAAAGGGTGGAGAGAAACAGGCTTGGGAGGAACTGTCACATCCTGGGAAGAAGAAAAGTATAAAGAGCATGTTAGTGGATGAAAGTCAAGCTCACCTGGAATTAAGTCTAAACATTATAGACTTTACGTCAGAGTCTCTTACTAGTAAGAAGGAAGCCTCTGCTCGCACTTAGGCCCCTCACAACACACCACTTTCATGGTGTACTGTCTCTTTCAGGAACTCCTGTCAGTCTCCCCCCTCCAGCTTCCTCCACAGAAAGAAACAAGCACCTGCAGTATCTCCTGAAGGGTGTCAAGGTTGTTATTTTTCAAAGTGTTGAGAGGAGAAATGTTTAAGGAAAGTGAGCATCCATCCCAAAGGTGATAGGATGAGATCAGAAAAGGCTTTGTGGAAGAGGACAGCAACAATGGAAATGAATCTAAGAGTGCTTGTGATTTGGTGTGGAAGAAATGAGGGAGATGGGAAGCCATCACAGAGGATATCAGTGTGCAAGCAGCAGGGCCAAAGCATCGGTTTAATTTGTGGTACCGTTAAGTTGTGAAGCTGGGCTGAGTAAGGGGAAGGGATCAGGGAGAGGTAGGTCTGGAGAGAGACATGAGGTTTTCAATCCAGGCAGTGTGTTCCTTTAGAGAGAAACTAGAGAGAGCACACAGATGAGTTACAGTGTAGAGAGGAGAGGGAAGGAGGCTTTCCCTAGGGTGGGTCTTGAACCTGGAAAAATGGGTGAATGCCAAAGACTTTGAGGAAGTAGGACCCACAGTATGAGGCCGGGAATGGGGGCAAGAAAGCCACGAGAGTGGGAAGTCTTGAGCCTACAAAGAAAAGCTCCAAAAAGGGCCTGTATACATAAATATCTATGAAAGACAGGGCTACTTTTTCAGATATATCTTCTCTTAGATTTCTGAAACTTTTAATGTGGGGAAATAAATCAACAGTGATTATCCTATAGTAAAACCCCTTAGGACATGAATCTTATAAAATGAAACCTTTATTCACCTCTGTGGCCTCAGAGTCAAGTGCAATATGTAATATAGTAGATGCTTAATGCATTAATGACTGAAATTTCAGAGGAATATTATATTTTCTGTGAGTTCAATACTGTATTCTATTATTTCTCTGCTCCATAAGCAATGAACTAATAATATATTTGGTTTTGTGTGAAATGGAAATTTAGTACGAAATAATACACATTGCTCAAAATTATATTTAGCAAGCAAGTAAATTCCACTTTAAAACTGTACATTTAATATTTTTAATGTAAATTTTGGGGCACCTGGGTGGCTCAGTGGGTTAAAGCCTCTGCCTTTGGCTCAGGTCTTGATTCCAGGGCCCTGGGATCAAGCCCCGCATCGCATCGGGCTCTCTACTCAGCAGGGAGCCTGTTTCCTCCTCTCTCTGTCTGCCTCTCTGCTTACTTGTGATCTCTGTCTGTCAAATAAATAAATAAATAAATCTTTAATATTTTTAATGTAAATTTAATTCATTTTACCAATACTATGTATTTTTCAGCCACTGATTGTCTTTCTAAAGTGTACGTTGAACATGTTTGCTATATTGGTAGATGTCTTTTTTTTTTTAAGATTTTATTTATTTATTTGACAGACAGAGATCACAAGTAGGCAGAGAGGCAGGCAAAAAGAGGAAGGGAAGCAGGCTCCCTGCTGAGCAGAGAGCCCGATGTGGGGCGCCATCCCAGGACCCTGGGATCATGACCTGAGCCGAAGGCAGAGGCTTTAACCCACTGAGCCACCCAGGCGCCCCCCCCTTTTTTTTTTAAGCATTAGATTCAAAACTTACTTTTAAAAGACTCAGAAAATTTAAGCAGGTTAGAAAATTATAATGCTAGATCTTTTTAAGTTTGTAGAAATGAGAGATTATAAGCCTCTGTACCTTGAAATGGTAACTAACTGGTTTCTTGTTTGTGCTGCAAGTGTTTATTTTACATATCAAGCAAATACAAATAATTTTACACATGCACGCAGTAAGCACACATTATTATTTTTAAAAAAGCATCCAATTTGCAACATTCTGCATCTCGTTTGTTTGTATTTTTCCCCCATTTAACAATATCGTTGGAATATTTCTATGTCAGTCCATGAAAGATTTGGATTTCCTAGCAAAACACATTACTGAGTTATCTCACGGATATAATTGTCATTCAATTGATTCTTTTGGAAACTCTAGGTATATCACCCAAAATATCAAATAGTTAATGGTATGATCAATTTACCTCCTCTTTGCCAGTTTTCATACTTTTAATTCCTTCCTTTTGTCTAATTCCATTGGCCCCTGCCACTAACATTATTAAATAATGGTCACATTATTGTGCACCTTGAAGGGAACACTTTTAGTGTTTTCCCATTAAAGACGGCTTTTAGATTGAAATATATTCTAATTTTGTTTTATTTCTCAATCAGTGATTTCATTATTTTATCAACAGCTCATTACAATTCTTAATCAGCGTGGAAACTGATTGATTTGAGAACCGAGTCGCAAACACAAAGACTAGGTGTGTAAGGAAAAGGTAGCTTTGTCACTGACAGTTGATGGCGGTTAGGAAGAGGTGAGAGGAAAAGGTGAGCAGAACAGTTCCTGGTTGATGTTTGGCTTCAGCTTTTCTGGGAGGGTTCAAGAACCCATTCTGAGGACTTCGGAAGCCAAGACTGTAGTGATCCTAGGGCAACAGAAGATTCCCTAGATGGGGGACTCGGGCAGGGCTAAGGGCTAACCAATCAGACAGAAAATGTTTCATATTTCTGTGCTCTCTGTAGCCAACCTCCCTATCTCAGGAGCTGGTCAAGCCTGGATACTTCTGTGGGTCAGGGAGGATCCCAGCTCTCCCGGGCAGCTCAGCAGGGAGGGAAGAGCAGAATCATATCAGCATTTGGACAGGCTATAGGGAGTTAAGGGTTCAGGCCAGGATCACTTTGGTTAATAATATGGTACAAAGGTGAAAGAATTCTTGGTGGTGGCCGCCTTGACATAAATGTCACCTGAGGCACCTGTTCGGATCTGTGCTAGTTGTCTTCTATGCTTCGTATAAGCCATTAAGCTGTGATTCTCTTTACCATCATTCTGGAAACTTTCTTTGCCTGTCTCTTTACGTCCGATCTCCTGTCTCCAGATGCCATGTCTTTCTCGGTTCTCTTTTGTATCTATTGGGCCCTAGAGGAGTTTCCTGGGGGGAAATGGAGTATTAGAAGAAAAAATTTGACCTTTGCATGTTGAAAATTTTGTTCTGCCCTTACATTTAATTTTTCCAGTTTCTTTCGTCAATTCTTATAAATTCATTTCCCTTGCTTTCCTTATGCACAGGATATGTTATCATTCTTAAATTTTCCAAATCAAATATTTAATTCATTTGTTTGTATTCTCATATTCATTCATTAACCGTATTTAGAGTCATGAGTTTTCTTCCAGAGACTATTTTGACTGTATTCCGTAATTTCTAATAGACAATAGTTTCATTACTTTTTTCTTCCAGGTAGAAATTTTATTTTGAATTTCCTCTTTAATCAAAAATTTGTTGAAAAGCACATTTTTCAATATGCAGGTAGCAAGGAAGTCCAAATAGTCACAATGCATATGGAAGTTTGTTACTTTTCAAAATATTTTGCCAGAAGATAACTTGAGAACTTCCAAATGATTCAAAAGATATTCTTGGTCCTTCTCTATCTCATTATTATAAAAATACACACACACACACACACACACACACACCCATCTTTATCCCTATATTTTTATTACTATATATAAGAATCTTGACCATATACAAATGTAATATACATAACAGGCCCTTTCTATATACTGTGTGTGTGTGTGTGTGTGTGTGTACACACATCTACAATGACTTTGTCATCAGAGCTTATCTATGGATGTTGATGTAACTTCAGCCTCACACCCACAATTATTTTACATATTCTACTGCCAATTATACCTTCACAATTTTCTCACAGCATTGTAATTTGATATAAAGAAGTCCCTTACTTTAAGGAATAAATTTTCTTTAACTTATTTCTCTTCTAAATCTCCAAAATGTCACTCATTGTAGATTTCATGTGTAGAACACAAATGCCATACACGGAAACTATTTTAAATCTGTGTTTTAATTTAACTGCATTATAAAACTGCAATACGGTATGATTGCTCACTATGTCCTGTTTTAAATATTCAGATATGTTTTCAATGCACTTCATAATGGTATCTGATACAAAGGAATGAATTTCAGTTCACCATTCTATTGTTTTCTATGTATTACTTTATAGTGTTTTCTGCAGCAGGAAGAACATGTATGTTTCCAATTAAATTGGGTTTTTAATTTTTCCTTTATGAATATTCCTCAAAAAAGATATTTATCATTGACTTCAGCAAAATGTTAAACATTATAATATTGAGTACCTCACATCTTTAAACATTACTAAAGTCGCAAAGCATCACCAGGTCCTGAATGCCTACTTTTGTAAATGTCTTATGATGCCATAATGCCATTATTAGTTAAAACTCAAGGTAAAACTATAAATATAGGGCTAGGTATACTAATATGAATGATAAATTAACAATATGGTTGTTAACAAGCTTATACTAGATATAGGTCTTATATCATCACTATCATTTCTTGTTATTTATTCCTATATTAGTCGTGGTACACTCAATCCAGACTATTTTGCAGATGTTTTAAAATAAAACCCCTTGTTCATTTTATGTGGATTATTTTAATTAAAAATAGTTATGTGATAGTGGGTGCCTGGGTGGCTCAGTGGTTTAAACTGCAGCATTCGGCTCAGGTCATGATCTCAGGGTCCTGGGATAGAGTCCCACATCAGGCTCTCTGCTCAGCAGGGAGCCTGCTTCTTTCCCTCTCTCTGCCTGCCTCTCTGTCTACTTGTGATCTCTCTCTGTCAAATAAAGAAACAAAATCTTTAAAAAAAATAGTTATGTGATAAATCATACGTCCGACTGGGCACATGATCTTCAATCAAGGATAAAAGGCTTAAGGAGTAGCCAGCTGAGGGCTCTCTGTTCACTGCACCAAACTGAAGGG